GAGCTATTGAATGTCTTTCCCCAGAAAGACAGTATCTCATCACATTTCAGTCTGCAGCAACTCATTGATAATGTCAATATCAACTACAAGAGTGACATGGTTGCTGAACTTGGACAATATGTTCATGTAATTGGGACGGATTCCAACAATTTGTTGGAACCCCGAAGTATCAAAGCAATTTACATTGAACCTACGAAGGGACAACGTACTGGGCACCAAGTGCTCAACCTCAATACTAAGAAGATGATTTCCCAATCCAAGGTCGTTGTACTACCCGTTACCAATCAAGTAATCCAGCGTGTTGCTTGAAGCTTGGGCTGCTGCCAAAGGTGTTACTTCCATGAAATTTTTTGATAAGAAGAGAGATTTGGAGACATTTCAAGATGGCGATCAAATCGCAGGAGTGGATGACACGGAACAAGGTTACTTAGAAGAAGCCTTTGATCAGGACTATGAACCTGAAAATGAAGATGAACGTGATTTCAATCTACATGGACAATTTGATGATATCAATGACTCCAAAAGAGAAGAGCTCTTGGCAGATGCAGACAATGATGTCGATGATATGCCAGAACTCACTGTCAGATTCCGTGAAAATGACGACTATGAATCAGACGACAATTTGGGTGATGAAGGCGACAAAGAGGAAGAACCTATTGTGGCCGTTTTGGATCACCATCAAGAAAATGTTGATAAAGGAACCGATGATATTGGAAGCCTCGTTACTGATCTGGAAGATCTACAAGAACCGCCAGAAGAAGAGATTGTATTTGAGCCTGAAATGCCTCAAGTAGCAAAAGTCACTCGATCTGGGCAAAACGTATGCGCAAGCTGCAATGTCTGGGCTGAACCTTTCTCAAGTTCCAAAAAAACCACGAGAATGGCCTTCAAGCAGGAGTGGCAGTTCTGCCAATAAGAACAAGAATCAAGTTGCGACAAGACGCAAGCATCAAGTGAGAGTTGAAACTGTTGAAGAACAAGTTAAAATCTGGTATTCATACAAAAGAAGGAAGTAGCAGTACTAAAGACAGTAAAGCTATCCTTGAAGCAAAGCACAATCTATATTTCCAACAGATTGGGAATGAGATGAAAGCTGATTATGAAGAGCACGACGCTATTCTGATGGCTCGTTGCATGATTCAGATCAAGGCCAAGTTTGATACTGATGAAGGTCTGAACTTCATCCAACAGTATTACATCAATCAAGGACTTAAGAAGTCTGGTGATGATAAAAAGGATGCTGTGGATAAGGAATTGAGACAAATGCTCCTGCGAGATTGTTTCACTCCCGAATTTGTTAAAGACATGACCACTTCTGAGCGAAAGAAGGCCCAATCAGCAATGATGTTACTCGTGGAAAAGCAGTTCAAAAAGAAAATTAAAGGTCGCCTAGTATAGGAACTTGTGAATGGTTATCGCGAGAGGACACTGCAAGTCCAACTGCGTTGCAGGAAGCAATCACCACTACTTGTGTTATTGATGCACACAAAGGTAGAGATATAATGACGCTGGACGTGCCTAACGCTTTCATTCAAACTTATATGCCTGATGCTAAGGAAGGAGAAGATCGCGTCTACATGAAAATCACTGGCATGATGGTCCAGATATTGATTGACATGGCCCAAGAGTATCGCAAATACGTTGTATTAGAGAACGGAAAGCGAGTAATCTGTGGGCGGGTACTACGTGCTATTTATGGGATGTTACAATCGAGCCTCCTATTCTATAATCAATTTCGAAGTGATTTGGAGGCAAAGGGATTTGTTTTCAATCCGTATGACCCGTGTGTTGCTAACAAAGTTGTTGATGAAAAACAGCAAACTATCAGATTTTATATTGACGATCTTATGTCAAGTCACATGGATTGGAAAGTAAATGACGAATTTGCTGAGTGGTTGAACATGAGATATGGTTTGATCCAGGCATGTAAAATCGTCAGAGGAAAGATACACAGATATCTTGGAATGAAAAAGGAAAACTCAAAATCCGCATGGACAACTATGTCAAGAACATGTTGGAAGATTTTCCTGTCAAGTTCAACAAGGATTCAAAGCAGGAAACACCAGAAAGGAAAGTTACTCAGTGCTGAGTACCGTCAGATCTTTCATACTACTGTTGCAAGGGGACTTTATGTCTCTAAGAGAGCTCGTTTGGATATTCATCCAACAAGAGTTCGAGAACCTACAGAGTCTGATTAGAAGAAGTGTGTTTGCATGATGCGATATTTGTTTTGTACATTGTTGTATTACGAGTCATGAAATGGATGATCAACGCATCATTTGCGGTGCATCCAGATTTCAAGAGCCATACTGGCGGCACTCTGTCCTTTGGAGGATGTGCAGCTCAAGTGATGTCAAAGAAGCATTAGCTAAACAGCAGAAGCAGTACGGAAGCGGAACCGATTGCTGTTGATGATGCTGTCACGATGATACTATGGACAAAGTTGTTTATGGAGTGACTAGGTCAGACAAGTATGTATATGTTCAAAATGAAAATACAAAACAAAAAATAAACAGTGAATGAGAGCATATCCCATTGCTGCCAATGGTGATTGTCACAATGGCAGGAGTGTGTTGGGATATGACAAAATATGAGTTTTTACGTTCCAAAAAGAAACTATTCAAGTACAAAGTTTTCAACATGAACGATCGGACTTGGATCGTGATGTCACGATCAGACTTTGATCGTGATGTCGGGATTCGACGCAAGTATGCCGGACGCAAGTCTGTCGGACAATCTACATCCACACAAAAAGGGAATGACCCTATACAAGTGAGATATCGATGTTGTGTACAATGCAGTAGGGAATAATACAAGATGTCCCAAAGTACTTCATTCAACACAGAATTGTCGTAGAAGTCGAATCAAGTTCTGTAAACAAGGGATTTTCCAAGGGAAAATTGTTGAACTTACTTTTGTGATTGAATCAAACATTAATCAAATAGGAACAAATTCACTCAAAGTATACTTAGCACAGGAGAACTATTGTTGTGAAAGTGTTGTACAATCGCTTACAAATTTAGATTGCAGAGAGTTTGTTCTGAGCGCTAAAGGCACTCACGATAGAGCACATTTTGCTTTATTCTAACAGGGTCAGTCATCAGGTTCTGCATGGGAATACATGAGCAATAATGCACAGTGGTATCAATGCAGGTGAGAAACTTAGCATCTTTGATCTCCATGTGATCAATACAGACGGTAATTGATCGATTATTTTGATACAATGTGCACGTCTTCTTTGGAGTTGGTCTTGTTGACTTGCCTTTCAATGTAGAGGCGTCAGGTCCAAAGATTGCTTTGGCATGATTAATTGCTTCCTCAGTGATAGGACAGTCTTTGATGAGACCAGAGTGGATTGCATACTTCAGACTTTTGGTGCTTGGAGCAAAGAGTATGTGCATTTCTTGCTTCCATCGCAGCCTTGACTTGTCTTGGAATGAATCCTTCCTTGTTCTTTCAAACAGTTGCCATCTTGGAGGTCATTTGGAGTCCAGCATATCCATTCTGTTTGTTTGAAGAAAGTTTGAAAATGGGTTGATTATTTAAGTTGTTTAACTGGCAAATGTACATCGCACTTGTCTCTTTGGCACCTGGTTCAACATTAGTTCCAGGTTGATCCAACACATACACACCCTTACAATTCACAAATCGCATCCTTCTGTTTCCATCACAATGCAGAAAAACGGCGTTGTCAGCATCAGTATCCATAGCAATGCAGTATTCTGTTGCAATCATCTCGCACATAGCAAGTGCATTGGCAATTCCATCTTCATCGTGATAAACTGGAGGCGAAAATTTTATTAGAAAACCTTCTTTGTCGAGAACTCTGCTGCCCATGTTAGTGTGCATATCAAGTTCCTTCTCAGCATGACAGAGTCCATGCATGAGCTTAACATTACAAATGGCGGTGTTTGTACAACCACTGTCCATGATGACATGATCGCAAACCCAAATGGATCCCGTTCTCTTCTGCGGCTTTGGATATACTGCAGACCTTGATCTGCTTCAGTAGCAAGATCAGGCACTAGCATAGTGCCAGTTGGCTTGAAGTTCAACATTTGTCATACCAGCAGGACATGAAATAAGATAGACATCATTGTCATTCTCATCCTTTCCCTTGATAGCATTGTGGAAGACATTTGAGGTATTGTAATAGCCAGTCTTCACAACCTGCGGAGTTTGAGCTTGATTAGCATCAAATCCTTGGCGCACTTGAGCATGCCTTGATGGCCGAGTTGCATTCCGCTGAACGCAATTTCACCATTAGCATCCATTGAGTAAGGAACAGTCACAGTGCCACCAACTTGCGTTGGAATCTGCATGAGCTGCATCTCCAAAGGAGCTTGCATCATTTGATTACCTGTAGTACCAGCAAGTTGCAAAGGTGTGTTAACGCTTCCTGCAACACTCGATTCTCCACTTGTGGATGCTGAAGTTCCAGGAACTATAGCTGGAACAGTAGCTGGGATAGTTGCTCCAATCTGATTAAGATTGACCTTCTTCCCATAGTCAACATAATGATCCTGATTCTTCCATTGGATCTTTGGTAGCAGTCTGCCTGGGCATTTTGGAGACATATGGTCTTTGTTGCCACATACATAACATGCTGCCTTCTTCTTTCTATCCTTTGGTTTTTCTTTTCCTTTGTTACCTTTACCTTCTTTTTCTTTGGTAGAGGTTCACTCCCGGATTTTTACTCACTTCCATGTGAATCTTCAACATATCTTGTGCTTTGCTGACCGTCTTTGGATAATAATCCACTTCCCTGCAATAGTTCGTCTGAAGATCCAGCATCAGAGAAGCTGTTCTCCTTTGATTGCAGTTGTGCAGAAACCGTATCGCAAGAACGGCTTCAAAGATATCATCCTTGAACTTGTTTTGAGCAGCAGTATTGGTGCTAGCAATAGCAGCATACGCTTTTGTCTTGACTGCAAAAAAAAACTGTCTGTTTGTCTTAAAGTAGGCTGATCTTTGCATGTTCTCGTCAAGCTTTGCAGAATAGAAAATCTTGTTTTGGGCCATCTCTGTTTGTCTTGCAACAACTTCAGTTTGAACTTGAGCATCCAATTTTGGTGCAATTGAATCAAAGTCGATTGACTTTCCATCTCAAATCGATTCTACCATGTCTTTGGAGCACTTCATTCCAGAAGCTTGGACATAGTCAATCAGTCTTTCTTTGGCATCTTAGTAAGAAAATCTTACCCTTCCATCATTTTCATCCTTTGTTGAAAATAGATGTTTCACAACCTTTCAACTTGGATTGTGCTTGACTTTCTGAGGAGTCACACGTCCTCTTCCACCACCAGATGAACAACGTCCCATTGTAAACGAATCACTCACTCCTTTGTAGATAAGGCAGTGCTGTTCTTGACGTAATTTCTTTTGTTGCCTTTTGTGATTGAATGTTAGAATAAAGCAAAATGTGCTCTATCGTGAGTGCCTTTAGCGCTCAGCTCAAACTCTCTGCAATCTAAATTTGTAATCAACTATACAACACTTTCACAACAATAGTTCTCCTGTGCTAAGTATACTTTGAGTGAATGTGTTCCTATTTGATTAATGTTTGATTCAATCACAAAAGTAAGTTCAACAATTTTCCCTTGGAAAATCCCTTGTTTACAGAACTTGATTCGACTTCTACGACAATTCTGTGTTGAATGAAGTACTTTGGGACATCTTGTATTATTCCCTACTGCATTGTACACAACATCGATATCTCACTTGTATAGGGTCATTCCCTTTTTGTGTGGATGTAGATTGTCCGACAGACTTGCGTCCGGCATACTTGCGTCGAATCCCGACATCACGATCAAAGTCTGATCGTACGTGTCAAAAACTTTGTACTTGAATAGTTTCTTTTTGGAATATAAAAACTCATATTTTGTCATATCCCAACAGACCCTGTATTTGCAGCATTGGATAAGATATTCCGCCGCTACAACAAGGCAGGCTTTCAAGTCAAGATCATCACGTGTGATCTGGCGTTCATTCCACTCACTGATGATATGCTAGACGATATGGGTGTTACTATTGGCCTGACTGCAGCTGGAGACCATGAGCCAACCAAAACAATAGGACGCTGAAAGAAAGAGTCAGAGTAGCTCTTGCACGATTACCCTACAAAGTGGTCCCAAAAGTGATCACTGAATGTCTTGGACGTTGAGCCGCCAAGCTATTTCAGTCTGCAGCAACTCATTGATAATGTCAATATCAACTACAAGAGTGACATGGTTGCTGAACTTGGCCAATATGTTCATGCAATTGGGACAGATTCCAACAATTCAATGGAACCCCAAAGTATCAAAGCAATTGACATTGAACCTACAAAGGGACAACGTACTGGGCACCGAGTGCTCAACCTCAATACTAAGAAGATGATTTCCCGACCCAAGGTCGTTGTACTACCCGTTACTGACCAAGTAATCCAGCGTGTTGAAGCTTGGGCTGCTGCCAAAGGTGTTACTTCCATGAAGTTCTTTGAGATTTGGAGACATTTCAAGATGGCGATTAAATTGCAGTGGATGACACGGAACAAGGTCAATTAGAAGAAGCCTTTGATCAGGACTATGACCCTGAAGATGAAGATGAACATGATTTCAATCTACTTGGACAATTCAATGATATTGATGACTTTGAAAGAGAAGAGCTCTTGGGAGATGCAGACAATGATGTCGATGATATGCCAGAACTCACTTTCAGATTCTAAGGAGATGATGACTATGAATCAGATGACGACGATTTGGGTGATGAAGGCAATGAAGAGGAAGAACCTATTGTGGCCGATTTGGAGGAACCAATGATATTGGGAGCCACATTACTGATCTGGAGGACCTACAAGAACCGCCACTCTTGTAGTTGATATTGACATTATCAATGAGTTGCTGCAGACTGAAATAGCTTGGCGGCTCAACGTCCAAGACATTCAGTGATCACTTTTGGGACCACTTTGTAGGGTAATCGTGCAAGAGCTACTCTGACTCTTTCTTTCAGCATCCTATTGTTTTGCTCAGCGGTAGGCTCGTGGTCTCCAGCTACAGTCGGGCCAATAGTAACACCCATATTGTCTAGCATATCATCCGTTAGAGGAATGAATGCCCGATCACACTTGATCATCTTCAATTGAAAGCCTGCCTTGTTGTAGCGGCGGAATATCTTATCCAATGCTGCAAATACAGGGTCAGTCTTCAGGTTCTGCATGGGAATACATGAGCAATAATGCACAGTGGTATCAATGCAGGTGAGAAACTTAGCATCTTTGATCTCCATGTGATCAATTCAGACGGTAATTGATCGATTATTTTGATACAATGTGCACGTCTTCTTCGGAGTTGGTCTTGTTGACTTGCCTTTCAATGTAGAGGCATCAGGTCCAAAGATTGCTTCGGCATGATTGATTGCTTCCTCAGTGATAGGACAGTTCTTGATGAGACCAGATTGGATTGCATACTTCAGACTCTTGGTGCTTGGAGCATTGAGTATGTGCAATTCCCCTCTGAATACCCAAACATTACCTAGCAATAGGACACGGGGCCATGCGTGCAAGACTGGGCTGAACAGTGCCGTGCTAAATAGCGGTGGACGTATGCCTGGCCTACACAAGCGTGTGGGACTGGGATCATTCCCATTTTGTGTGGATACAGATTGTCCGACACACTTGTGTCTGGCATACTTCCGTCAAATCCCGACATCAAGATCAAAGCTCGATCGTACATGTCAAAAACTTCTTACTTGAATAGTTTCTTTTTGGAACGTAAAAACTCATATTTTGTCATATCCCAACACACTCCTGCCATTGTGACAATCACCATTGGCAGCAATGGGACATGCTCTCATTCACTGTTTATTTTGTTTTGTATTTTCATTTTGAAAATATACGTACTTGTCTGACCTATTTCTGTGGACCAAGAATCAGATCCCTGAACCTGCAAAACTTCTCACCTTGCAATGGCTTGGTCATGAAACCTGCAATCATATTGTCAGTTGGACAGTATTTGATCTTAACATTCCCTCTCTCAACTTGACTGTGATGAAGAAATAACGAATATTGATAGCTCACCTTCTTTTGCCCGCACTCTTGGGACCATTCTCTTCCAGTAGAATTGCACTTTTGTTATCCTGATACAAGATATTCTTCTTGATCGGATACCCTTGCCACTCCATGAACAACTTTGTCCATAGTATCATCATGACAACATCATCAACAGCAATCAGTTCCGCTTCCGTACTGCTTCTGCTGTTTAGCTTTTGTTTCTTCAACTTCACTTGAGCTGCACCTCCTCCAAAGGACAGAGTGCCGCCAGTGTGGCTCTTGAAATCCGTTAGGCACGTCCATCGTCATTATATCTCTACCTTTGTGTGCATCAATAACACAAGTAGTGGTGATTGCTTCTTGCAAAGCAGTTGGACTTGCAGTGTCCTCTTTTGATAACCATTCACAAGTTCCATCGCCTCCACATACTAGGCGACCTTTAATTGTCTTTTCGAATTGCTTCTCCGCAAGTAACATCATCGCTGATTGTGCCTTCTTTTGCTCAGACGCGGTTGTGTCTTTAACATATTCCGGAGTGAAACAATCTCTCAGGAGCATTTGTCTCAATTCCTTATCCACAGCATCCTTTCCATCATCATCAAACTTCACTATTACCAACTCTAATGTTCTGGTCTGGAGATACAGGTTCAAGTGTAGCTTGTGCGTCACAGCTACACACTGGCCATTAACTTAGCGTAGAAAAGAACTGAGTCAGCAGTTATCTAATGAATCATAGGATTTGTCTGGGTAAGTGATGGATCATCGCTCTTCTCACTGCATGGGTTTTACTTTAATTGATATACCGGAAGACCAACTTGAAGAAACTAGTCAGCTATAGGCTTTTAGTCTAATTTCATTTATTTCTGTCAATTATGCCAGATGGAATGTGGCAGCTTGGGTGATTGCATTTTCATGGATTGATGATGCAATCAATATTGCAGATGCATTTACAAAGTGATTAACACAGATGAGGAGGGAAAAGCTTTTTGGTTCTTGGGCTATGGATCACATTGATCCCTTTCTTGAGGGGACCAAATAAAGGAAACCGTGCTATTAGATACGCACAATCAGTCTGTATGCTGTAATGAACAACACACATCATCACTTCTTTTTGTTTTCCTTTCAACAGTCCGTCCGCCACTCGGCCCTACAAAAAAGTGGTGAGGCAATACTTGTACTGGTACCTTGCCGCATGTTTTATAAATGTTATGATCAGAAGTTTTTTCATCGTTTCTACAGTGTTTACAACTTCAAGATCATCTGCCACTGTAAGATTGAGTAGTTATAATTATTAGGGGACTCTAGGAGATGGAATGAGTGGTTCTACTGATATACCAGGTTGAATGACGCAGTTCCACGGTGATATAGGTTGGTGATGGTCTAAGAGATATATCATCGAGTGGCTGTTATGGGGGAAATATGGTTGTAGTATCAAGACTCATTCATAATCTATGCATTGGTTTATAGCTTCATTGGAGCATTCTTGATGTATTGGTGCCCCTTAGCACCACCAACTTAGTGGGGCTGTAACTTCTGAGCATGACATTTTCAAGACATGCGACCGTGATAGGATTGAAGCTAAGGATCTAAGGTAGAAATTTTATGGGTGAATTTTGATTCTATGGATAAGGGCTAAGGTACAGGTATGGTTCCCCCACTTTTTGCACTTCTTTGTAAGTTATTTCAGAATGTAATTTTGAGGCATAGACGGCGAGAAATTTGACGACTTGAAATATTTTGACGAAGAATAAACCACTGAAACTGAAACGAAGACAGAAAACCGCGACAATTGAACAATTATAGATCACAAATTGTCAACATTAAAACCTACTCTTTAGAAGAAAACAAATCAATCTTGATCTGTGACAGAAGAGAGTTGCAAGATTCCAATCCAACAGTGGCTATTGATACAGTCCAGCTGTGGTTGTGTTCTGTTCAAATATTATTTTGCCAAGCTCACCGCCACCGCCAGGGTACATCTTTGTCTTAATTTTTTTTCTGACACTTTTCAAACGTAGCTGTTGTTCTTCTGACAAAGGTTTCGAAAAAATGCCTGCCCACGCACGTTCAGCAAAATGCCCCTCTTCGATGTTATCTCCTCGTCTAAGACTCGATTCCATCGCATGCAGCTCGTTGGTTAGTTTACGAGCTCTACTCAGCTTTATGGCAAAATTCCCACCATAACAAACTTCTGTGAATGGATTTGGCAATCGAATTCCAACATATTTCAGCCACGTGCCGAAGTTGTCGAATCGTGACTTGAAATGTGTGTTGTCATTTGGCACTGCAATATACTTTCCTTCATAGAGAGTCATGTTGTATCGACTCAAGATTTTCATGTCGTGGTACCGCGAATTGCCGATTTCTGGTTTCTGAAAACAAGAGAAGTCCTGTGATGATGCGATTAAAGTCATTTCCATTAGACTTCTTGCCTGATTCCCACTTTGAAGAAAGACATTGTCTTTCAGAAAGACTATGATGTCAGTGTTTTCATGTTTCTTCTCTGTTACAGCCCTAGACAATGCATACGCATACGTGTGGTCGTTCCTGCCCACGTTGGGAAGCGATATTTTGTGGCATGTTGTGGTGTTGCAAAGAGATGAAAGAAGGGGGGCCGTCCCACATTTGGAAACCAATGTTACGTGATGAAAAGAGAATCCCATTGTGAATGTGTTTAACCAATCAAGACTCCCTCTACAATAACTGATCACAAGTGCTATTCTGTGACCGAGAATATTGTCAGGCTGTATCATTCGAGCTCTACTAATTTGCACGGTTTCCATTGCGTCAAAGTATTTTAGACTCAATATCTTGTGAAGAACATAAGCGGCCACAATAATGGTAAATAATCGGAATACTCCTTTTGCAATCATTTTGGCAATATGATGAAGCTACTTTCACAAGGTATCGCTGATTGATGAGGTCTTGTGGCACAAGATGCAGCACGAACGACTCGAAATTTTGTGTTTCCTCTCCGGGACTGGAAAAGGCCATTCGATGCGTGCTATTACGACGGGACGGCCGGGAAAATAAATATTTACTCTCAAGAATTGTATGCTAAATTTCTAGTTCCTGGCCGTTCCCAAAGGTCGAAAAGTCCATGATCAGATCGCCAAAGTAACCCGGATATACAAAGTGATGGAGGATACTACAAAATCGTTAGTCGCGAGTCATTCAACAATATACAGCACTTGTTTTCACCAGCTTCCTCATAGCGAGAAAACACATAATCCAACCTTCACAGAAGAGTCACAGAGAAAATTGTGGATGTCTACATGTAGAGATGCACTTCAAAGTGCCTACGTGGACCTTTTGACTAAGGCCTAGTTCTGTACCCAACCAAAGGAGCTTCTACAGTCCCAATACCTTGGGCCTGTTCTATGGGCCGTTTCACTCTTCCCCTCTATGATCAAAGCTTGTCGTATGATCATAGTACTATCATATCATTCCGTATCAAATTGTAGTCACAAAGGCGCGCTTACATCCACAGTTCATACAAGAGGTGGTTCTTGACACAACAGGCAATTCAAACTCATCGCTTGCTAGACTCGATGAAACGGCACAAGACGCCGTATATTCAGTCTCTCAAAGACTGGAGGACTCCTGCGAACTTCAACAGTTCCGTTAGTAAACACACGAGTAATTTGATATGGACCTTCCATCTTTGGATCCAATTTACCTGGATTGAAATTCTTGATCAAAACTTTGCCATCAACGTTGTAGTCAAACTCCTTTCGTTTAGCATTTTGTCACCATAGATTTTTGCTGACCATCAATTGTCGCTTTTCTTGTATACTCAAAAGATTGGCAGTGACAGGAATGTTGAGCAACATGTCACGAGCAAACACTACTTCACCTGGAGTGTTGTTTTTCAAAGACTGAGAAACAGCACATCTCATGGCATGATTGCATGCTGCTACAGCATCATCGACGGCTTGATTAGCTGTCTGAATGTTTGGGGCCATGTTAGTGTTGTTGAATCTTGTTTGTAGAATGTTGCCAACAGTCTGATGCATCCGTTCACAGATAGCATTGGCAGTTGGATTCTTGCTTGTTGCCGATGCATCGTGAATTCCCCACTGCTGTAGTTTCAACTGAAAATTGTGACCAATGAATTTGCCGCCTTGATCGTGAATGCACTTGTAGGGTTTTGGATATCAAGAAAGCCAAAGATTCTCAAAGACATTTGTGACATGGGCTGAAGTTTTGTTCTCAATGCGTGAAAGTTCAGTGAGATTTGTCACGGGATCAATACAAGTGAGCGCATTGAATTCAATGTCTATACCATTGACCTTGATTTTCCAAGGTCCAATCAAATCCGCAGCCACAGAAAACCACAGGACCAAGTCTGCGTGTCTTTCAGGCAGATGTCCATATTGAATGTTTGCATTTTTATTCACTTGGCAAACTTCACATCTGAGGGATTCAACTTTTCTTTTCAAAGCAGGAGCATAGAACCGTTGGACGATTGTATTGTACAAAGAGGTGGTACCTTGATTTCCAAGTACCAAATGATACCATACAATCACTGGAGCAACCAAAGTTTCAGGCAAGTGAATTCTCCATTTGTTAGGTTTATTCAAATCTGCACAGTAGCAGATCACATTCCGATTGTCAATTTGCATGATGGGATGTTGAGCCCAAGTTACTGCGTTTTGCGATTTTTGAATGAGGGCAACATCATGGAGCTGATGTTGTTGAATGTTTGCCATCATGGTTGGATTTGGCATAACTTCCAATGGAGGATGATTGAGAAACGATTCAAGCATCTCATCATTTTTGATAGCGCCATGTCCATGATCACCATCTTGACAACAAGCAAACATGCATCTGAAGGTATGATTGAATTCTGCTTCAGATGGAGGAGGAAGAAGAACTTCTTCTTCGAAAGAATACATTTCATCCTTGGGATCCATTTTGACATTGAGTTTGTCAAATGCAATCAATTTACCTTTAGAAACTTGTTGTGTATTCAACGTGCGGAAGGTGAGATTTTTGTGATCAGTAAAGATAGTCAATTGCATACTGTAAAGCATAGATCAAAACTCTTTCAAGCAATGCACAATAGCCAACATTTCTTTTTCCATGACAGAATAATCCTTTTGCGCATCATTGAGTTTGCAACTCCAGTACGCCGCTAATTTGATAGTCTGAAGCATCAGTATAGACTTCAAAGGGCTTGTTGTGATCGGGATACCGCATTAAAATATCACTAGCCATCAAAGATTTCATTGTTTGGAAAGCTTTTTCACATTTGTCTGTCCATTGAAATGTGCGTGTTCCAGTGAGAGCTGTCAACGGTTGCAAAAGGTGAGAACGTCGGGGCCACATGTGACGATAGTAGGTCACAGCACCCAAGAAAGCTTGTAGTTCAGTAATGTTGCGAGGTGCATTCATTTTGAAGATGGCATCAACCTTTTTCTTCCAAGGTTTTACACCTTCAGGGGTCAACCAATGGCCCAAGAAATCTGTTTCTTGAACACACCATTTACATTTCAAAGGATTGATTTTGAAGCCAGCTTCCTGTAGACGGTCAACCACTGTCTTGATCAATTGCATGTGTTCTTCATAAGAATTTGAAAAGAGTCCAACATTGTCAATCTAGACTTCAACACCTTGTTCCTTCAAACCATGCAATGTCTTCTCAATGTAGTGTTGAGCAACATCAGGAGCTGGTTTCAATCCCATCGCCATTTGTTGGTACTGATATTTTCCATATGGGGTGACGATCGTGCATAATTCCTTGCTTTCATCATCAAGCTCAAAAGAATAATACATAATTGTGAGATCAAGTTTGGTAAAGAATTTGTAGCCAGCATGACGAGAGACAACTTCATCAATCAATGGCAAAGGATACACTTTACGTTTGAGAACCTTGTTGAGCTCGCAAAGATCACTGATCCATCGTACTCTTCCATCCTTTTTTGGAATAACGAATGTAGGAGAGGCCCATTCAGTTGGACCACATTGCTTGAGTACGTTGATTGATTCCAAATGCCAAAATTCCTTGAGAAAAGCGTGTTGGTGTTTCACAGGAACGGAATAGGCTTTAGAATGAATTGGTATGACACCGTCTTCAACTTCCAAATGGATCTTCTCATGTTTGTAGTGTCCAAGGTTGCCATCAAAAAGTTCTTGTTTATTTTCCAATGCAGTTGCAAATTGATCTTGTTGTTTTTTTGTCAAGTGGACTTGCTTGGAAGAAACTTCAGCTCCAGTTGTTGCTTCATACTTTGCATCGAGGATGAAAGCATCATCTGCAATGTCATCGTCATCCAAAATATCCAAGTAGCAATCCAGTGCAATAGTCCAGTTGGTGTGATTTTGAAAGTGGGTCTTGATGGTTTTGAAAATCGATTACAATTCCAAGTTCATTGAGAAAGTCACGACTAAGGATAATATCATGTGGACAATCCGGGGCATCAAAAACTGTCACTGTTTTACTGTAGATTTGCCAATGTTGATCAAACTCTGGAAAGAGCCCGTCTCAAAGTTCAATGGATTTGTTAGCATTGAAACTTCCAGATACAGTTGCACAAGGTTTAACATTAGGATCAATCTTTACTGTCGCGCCTTGTGGAATGCATCGTGCATGGATCATTGTGTTTTCACCACCTGAGTCAAACAATACTCGGAGAGGTTTTGCAGACTGTTTTCCTTCATTCAGTCCCCATTGCATCAAAGAAATAGGAGTTAAATTCACCCGTAGATTCCAAAGTTTGTTTTGGAGTTGGGACACAAATGAAAGAGTCATTCAAAAGAAAGTGCTTCTCTTCTTGCGTCATCGGACCTTGATCAGGGGTCAATGTGGTAGCAAAAGATGAAAGATTTGGTTCAAGGAAAGGATTGATTAGACGGTTAGACTGTGAACGAGTATTGTTTTGGAGTTAAGGTCAATGAGCTTCATCCTAGTAATGGTAATGTTCAGAGGCACCATCGTATGGATAATAGCCTTGATCATTTGTTGGAGGATACAAGTCATCTGGAGGATACGAGTCTTCAGGGGGAGGATACATTTCTTGCTGTTCACAAGGTTGCACAAATTGGCCTTGTACAAAATATTGGTCATGCTGCTCTTTGGCAGAAGGCATTCCGCCTTAGCCCACTTTGGGGCAGTTCCAACCGGAACAAAGCATTCCGCTTCCTGATTGTTGTAATACGTTCCAGCAGGAACTGAGCCTTTGGCTTGACTTCTGTCTTGATTGTAATGTGATTCAGCATAATGATGGTTTTGAGGGTTTCAGTTTTGAAAATTCCCTGGAGGTCGGTTGTTTGGAGGCAGATTGGCTTGATGGTTGCATTGCCCAAAGCGTCCTTCGGTTCGAGAACTGGCTCCCAAAGATTGTCCTTGATAGTTGCCTTGAGATCTTGGAGGATAGCGATATCCTTGATTCTGAGTTCCTTGATTTGATAGCTTGGATAGGGTGGATTGGAAGTGGTTCGACGATTACCGTAACTTCTGCATCCACGTCCACGTCCACGTCCTTGGCAAGAATGCTGTATGGAGCCACCAGTGCGTTGAGGCTTTTCATGAGCATGCTGCTTTGAGATTTGGACATTGTCGGACAAGATCTTGGTAGCTTGCATATAAGTTTTGACCATTTGCAAGGTGATGTTGGGATCTTCAATTGTTCCTTTTTGTTGATGGAAAGTATCCTGCCACTTTGCAGGAAACGAGTGGAAAATTATTTCTTTCTTGGTCAAGACAGAAATATCATCATTTTCACATAGCTTCTGAGATGTTCTGGGAAGCATGTCATGATAGAAGCACAATAGTTCAAGTTGCCTAATGTGTCTGGACACATCAGTTTTCATAGACTTCCTGCAGGCAATCGACTTCAGAAAACGGCTTGTGCTGTTCCTTGGATTTGCGCCGGCTGACATCTTCATGATAAAATCGTCAACAGAATTCTTGAATTGCACGGCAGTGTGATGGGTCACGCTCGTTTCAATCACATTCCATTTGTTCAAGGCTTGACCGCCCAGATGTAGTCAAAAGAGCGAGAACTTGAGGTTGGCAATACCAGCTCCGTTACCAGTGATCTCCCATTGAGAGCAGAGATTCTTGAATGAGATGTACATCCTGCAAAAAGGCTCCAAATTGCTGCCTTTTCCAAGGTAAAGTGGAACCTTGGCTTTGCGTTCGCCACCATCTGCGCCAGGAAGATGGAATAAAATCTCAGTGAGAATGTCCCTATTGTTTTCAACATAGGTAAATGGTGAGTCAGTTGCAAGAGAAGTCATAGTGATGTATTTTCACATCAAACGCTTCATTCAAGATGCAACAAAGTCAAATACCTATTAATAGCTTGCTGCCACTCTGCAGAGTGTATCTCTTCAGTAAAAGCCTTTGGCTATTTGAATAGGAACCGAACCTTCACAGAAGAGTCACAGAGAAAATTGTGGATGTCTATAGAGGAGGAGGATGATGATGATGATGATGATGATGATGATGATGATGATGATGATGATGACGATGACGATGATGATGATGATGATGATGATGATGATGATGATGATGATGATGATGATGATGCATTGTCTTTGCATAATGAGCCAAGTAGAGAGCAGCACGATGATGAAAACACTACAGAAAGAAGCAATGATGCATCTGGACACAAAAGTAATTTTCTAGATATTCCTTTCTTCAAACTCCCGTGTCTACAACAGGCCAAGGTTGAATTGCCACAGAGCCCATGTGACGTCCTGGCGGGTAGCTTCATTGCTCTCAAACATACCTTATTGAAGCCTCACTGGTTTCAGTTGTTCTATTGTGAAACTGAAGAGAGCAAGGCTTATGAAGATATTGGAATATTCCATGAGTTGCTTGGGTTTGTTGGGATATGACAAAATATGAGTTTTTACGTTCCAAGAAAACTATTCAAGTACAAACATTTGACACACAAGATCAGACTTTGATCGTGATGTCAGAATTTGACACAAGTCTGCCGGACAATGTATATCCACATGGAAAGGGAATGAGCCTATACAATATTGGATTTTGGTTCTGGCGGACATCAGACAAGCAACAGGCTTGTCATCGTCCAAACCAATTGACAACTTTGTGGCCCATCAAGCCATCATTGCCAACCAGCCGTGCCAACATGCCCATCAAGTCGTCATGCAGAGGCACTGACCATAGCGATCTCCGATCCGTCTAATACAAAATAATCATCTCTACAGGAAATAACTATTCTAAAAGACTTGTTATCTACATGGAATGGGCAAAGCAAAAGCCTTGCACGAAAACTCAAATTTCCCAAACCTTTACTGGATGTTTGCAATCCAGAAAGGCCGGTACAAAACCCACATACAGAACTCCCACAGGATTTGGTATGGGATTTCCGTGGCGCTCAGACAGTTTGATAGTCCAAGCACACAATTCCATGTTTCACGATGGATCAGATCGTCAAAAATCGGAAATAGAGACGGCTGATGTACAGACGTTTCGGAAAAGATAGAATTGATGTATTCATTGTATCTTGGACTATATTTATTGAATACCAGTTAGTGTATTCACAGGTTTTGTGTTTGTTTTGTACCGCACTATACTTTGGTGCCAATTGGCATACGCAGATAGCAATGTTTGCATCGCTGACAAATACATTATATTTGCTGCTACTACGCTAGGAAGTTTCCTTTGTCTTAGTTTTCATAGAGGAGATGAGCAATCTCTGTCCTCTGAGAAAATTTATCATCAGCCACCACCTCCTCATCGGAATCCACCACAAACTCAACAGCCTTTCTTCCTTCCACACTCTTTGTTGGCAGTGCCGCAACTTTGTCGTCTTCCTCACTGCCAGCTGAGTGGTTCTCTTCAACAAATGTGTCCGCTTTTGAAAATGTCACGTCGTTGTGGCCTTGCCTTTTACCACAACAACCATCCACTTTTGAGGCATTGTTATCGAGCAGCTTGCTGCAAACAACTTTTTTTTGCTATTCTCAATTGGTGGACGAGGACACGGAGAAGTTGCAGCTGCGTCACCAGCATTGTCAGACTTGGAGTTTGAACATTTGAAAGGGGGTCCCTCTTTGGAAATGTTTTGTCCATCAATCAATTCAGAGACTCCAAGGTTGGGTCATAAACGATGACAGACACACCTTGCTGTCCATAGTCATTCATTCGGCTAGAGTCCATCCTTTTTTCAACAGTTTCGACTTGAATGCTCGACTCTTGCTCTTTAATTTTTGTGTGTGGTATAAACTTTTGGCATTGCTGCAAAGAAGAGCTCGCCGTTGAACTAGAGTATCTGTCAACAAGCGAAATATCATGAGAGAGCTCCAATGCATTGCCCAGGACCGATACAGATTCGTCTCGAATACAAGGAGATTTTAGCCAAGAAAATAGTCATGCGCTTCATGGTTCCACACATCCTTCAATGTCAATATGATGATCAAAAGGAAATGTTTCCAAATGCATGCTTTGATTGCAACTATTGTGGAAGTGTTGTTGTCGGGAGATCTTCTTTGGAAGGAAGTCTTTGAAATAGATGATTCTAGCGGTGACACGACAAGGCTGGTGCTGGTGATATCATATGCTTGTATAGAGAGTATCAGATCGGTGGAAACAATAGGGGAGGTAAGGTTTGCATCACTGGAGAGATTGGCCTCGGAGTTCAAGAACAAGTCATGATGCAGATGGATGTTGACGTCTCCTCTGTCTTTGTACAATCCCTACAGCAACACTGCCGTCGACACTTCTAACGTATGCCATATTCATATTCGAGTTATTGGGAGCTAATCATATTTTCTCTGAAACCAATCTGAGACAGTAGGAAGTGACATGATATAATAAACAAAACATTATCTATGATTTGTATCACGTCTCCATCATGTCTGGATCAAAGAAGAGTACAAGTACCTTGTCGTACATAATCTATTGGTATTCAATTTAGGTTGATTTCTTGCTGCTACTCCAAGACACTTCTGTAGACGGGGAATTTCAATTTGTGTTGAACACGAAAAAGAGTAACGGCGGCATAGACTGCCCCCTGTTCCCGGCGAGCATACCTTTCTCTTTTTTGCTTCTCTTCAGACGATCGGCCTATCACTGAATTCTTCCATCCGGAACTCTACGCAAATAACTGCTGCACATCAAGAATTTTTTCGTTGGTGCTGTTTAGATGCATGTGGTGGGAAAACTGCGCGAAGTAGTTTTTGCCGTGTAACAGCACACACGACTAACAATACAATATTAAATACCGCGTTAAGGTTGTGGTAACAATCCTTTCACTAAGGTAATGTACACATTTTCTGTGGGATAGGTCATTCTGATCAGAGACTCTTCCATGTAAAAAGAAAGTAGAGTAGGTCGCGACATTGACTCCAGAGCCACAGGACAACAGGTGCAGCACCACTTGGTCTTATTCGTCACACAACAGGTCCACGGCTGCATACTAGTCAAAAGGTCGTGGTAACAATCCTTTTGCTAAGGTAATGTACACATCTTCTGTGAGATAAGTCATTCTGGTCAGAGACTCTTCCATGTAAAAGAAAGTAGAGTAGGTTGTGACATCAACTCCAGAGCCGCAGGACAACAGGTGCAGCACGACTTGGTCTTATTCGTCACACAACAGGTCCACGGCTGCATAGTCAAAAGGTCAACACCCCCTTTCCGATTTGATGGATCTCACAACCTCTCGCCTGGCCAGCGAACTGTAACCTATCATGAAACATCATTGCTTTGCACCTCTCCTTCATAGGGGTAGAATGCTGTGTAACAGCACAGACGACTAACGATACAACATTAAATACCGCGTTAAGGTCGTGGTAACAATCCTTTCACTAAGGTAATGTATGCATCTTCTGTGGGATACGTCAGTTTTGACGCGTTTGAAAGAGTGCGGTTTTTGACTCAAGATTTTTTTAAATTTGAATTCTCTTTATTCTGGGATATCCCGCAGTTTTCTGTGAAGCCAGCTTTCTCTTTTTTTTGGAGAGTCGATGTGGTCATTTTCACCCTCCTCTGCACGAAACTCCAAAAATCGACTTTCACTCGTTGCCTGTCAGAAAGAAACTTCTACGACAAGGAAGTTTATAAATGTTCACAATGCCGTTAAGTGTTCAACTTCATTCGCCAGATTAAATTTTAAAGTTTGTTTTATTTTCACAGCAATTGCGGAACATCTGTAATGACACAAAAAAAAACTGTGAATTTTTCACAGATGTTCTGAATTCACAGAGATTTCGGAACATCTGTGAAAAATTCACAGAATTTTTGACTCAGACAACAGAAAATTCACAGAATTTTTGACTCAGGCGATAGAAAATTCAACTCAGAAGACAGTGCCAATTTAACCGTTTTTTTCAAATTTGGTCACGCTTGCTTAAAATTTTGAAGAGAAAACGCAAAGAGAGTTTCAGAATCTTTCAGGATGATGCTTGGAATCGAAGTGACACCAGAACAGGTGCTGATCTACAGATTTGAAATTATTGAGGATTCACCTACCACGATTACTGATGACGACTTCAAGGAGCATAATATTGGAGTTTTCAAGGCTCATTTTGGCCAATGCCCTAGCACTCTATGCATTATCTGGCAAGACATTTTGAATTGTACGAACAAAGACTTGGGGCTCTGCCCATCTGACAGAAGCAAGGAGGGGCTTAAGCGATTGCTAGTTGCAATCCACTCCCTTGCCTCAGTTACTGGGATAAGCACACGAAGGGACCAAGACGACAACCTATGGCACTGGATGAAAGTTCTTTGGGCACTGGAAGCAAAGGTGATCAGCTGGTCTCAGAAAGAGTACAAGCAAAAGAACTATGGTCCAGGAAGAAAATTTATCTTGACTGTTGAAGGGGCTGATTTGAAGATACTCTAGTCGCAAACAATATACTGCTATAGAAGAACGGCATCTACTATGAATAAGGTTGAACTACGCTTTTGCTTTTTTCTTGGACCATTTGTTTTGGCAATTTGGCGCTTTTGGTTGCCTGTTTGTTCTGTCGTTTGGGCAACTGAAACACAAGGTGATCAGCTGGCCCGAGAAAGAATACAATCATTCAGGAAGAACAATTCTCTTGACTGTCGACGGCGTTGATTTTAGGACGTTCGAGAGATCAACCGACGACTACAATGTCGATAAAAAGCAATACAGTCACAAGTTCCATCATGGTGCGTTGAAGTATGAAATTGGAGCGGACGCATTTTTGCCCAAGATTGTTTGGATTCATGGACCGTGGAGGGCTGGTATGCATGACCGAGCAATCTTTGCAGAAGGAGGGGGGTTGAGAGAAAAGATTCCTGAGGGCAAGGTAATCATTTGCAATCGAGTCTATAAGGACAAGAAGCACAAGGACAACGACGAACTTATGTTGCCATGCGTTGGCGACAGTTCGCGACTATTCACATTCAAGTCTTGTCTCCGGTCAAGGCATGAGAGTTTGAATGGTCGACTGAAGGACTACAGTATCCTCCTCGATACATACCAACACGACCCCGATAATCATGTCTATGCTTTTGAAGCTGTGGCTGTTCTTGTCCAGTATGCAATGGACCATGGACATCCCATCTTTGAAGCAAACACTGTACCACCAGATTGAATAAACTAGATCCATACCTTTTTTTGTACCTACACTGTGTGACTTTGCCTACAATGTGTGACTCTGGTTTTTCTACCGCGATAACCTTTTTCTAACAGCAATCTCTTTCCGCAGTTATTGTTGTGCAAATCGATGACGCATCAAATTGTTCCGCTCGGAACATCTGTGAAAAATTCACAGAGATTTCGGAACATCTGTGAAAAATTCACAGAATTTTTGACTCAGACGATAGAAAATTTACAGAATTTTTACTCAGACGACCGTGGAAAAAAGCCTAGGACGAGTTTTACATAGGGCAGCCATAAATGATATATTCCTAGCTGAACCCACCATTTGCCACAATTTTGACATTTCGGAACATCTGTGAAGACCCTTAAAAAACCTGTGAAAAATTCAAAGAGATTTTGGAACATCTGGACTCCCCGCAACTTGTATGTCTATCCACCAACTTTTGAGCGTCGGACGCGATTACTACGCACGGGTCTTCCCCCCCGCCAGCAGGGAGCCCCTCATAAATTAAAACAACTTTTTGAAACCGATCAAAGAAATTGAAACAAGTCACGGTGACAAGAAACCGATCAAACAATTTTGAAACCGATCATAGAAATCAAAACAAGTCAATGCGACAAGAAACCGATCAAACAATTTTGAAACCGATCAAAGAAATCGAAACCGATCAAACGATTTTGAAACCGATCAAAGAAATCAAATCAAGTCAAAAAAATGAGTCACAAGAAAAATTGAAAATCCTGTCAATCAAAGCAAAATCCTTCAAGATGACAAATGTTACAGCGTACAGTAGGATCAAATGTATGGACCACTGCAAACCTCACAAATACAAGTTTCAGACCTTGAAAAATGGCAAGGAAGAAAAACCTTTGACCAAGGAAAGGTGCCATAGCTGAGATCCTGCAAGATTCATCAAGAACCTCCAACAACGCAGCATGGCAGTTCTTGAAGAAGAGGATAAAGACGACAATCACAATAATGAGGATGAAGACGAACTACCTCAATATGCTGAACCAAGAGATGAAGAGGGTAAAGATGACTACTAGAATGAGATGCAAAGTAAATACAATTAGGGGCCCTACTCAAGAAAGTTTATATTTATCCCCTTCATAAGTTTCTACTGCATCCCCGATCATAATATTGTATAATGACATCTCTCTTGTGATTAGATAATGAGCCAAGACGCAACAAGCCTCAAAAGCAAAAGCAAATCTATCTCTGTTGTGTCAAAATCGCGTCTCCAAGATCTTGTTTTGCTTCAACAGACTGTGAAATTATTGTGTCTCTTGAGAGCTCGACTCTTGAAGGGCCTGACACCAGCATTGTTGTGTGTGTTGTAGGTGATCGTGTGCTTTGGCTCTCTGTTGTAGCCTTGATCTCCGAGTCTCGATCCCTGAGGGCAGTTCCACAATCTTTCTCTCTTACCCAATAGTTGGAGTAGTCAAACTGGGAGGTCAGCTCATCTTCGGATAGGTACTTTCGTAGATAGTACAGTCGTCCAATCAAGAAATATTAGGGTCAAACACTCCTCCCTTGATCCTTGCGCCTGCAATGTTGGTGATTTGCTTGTCGGTGTACACCCAAACTGCAGTGCAGGGAGAAACTCTGAAGTGGTGTTTGAAACTTGGCACGCTTGATTCGCCTTTCGCTGTAGCCCTTCAGAGCAAGGCCAGAATCCATCATCTCCGATGGAGTAACGAGATGGTTGATGGGCGGCTCGTCCATGAAAGAGACTGATTTATGACAATATGCGGAGACTCGTAATAAGGCTCCATCCGAGTATGATGTGTCAATTATACAAAAATGATGTCATGAAATTTCGAAACCGATCAAAGAAATCGAAACAGATCAAGCGAAACCAATCAAAGAAATCGAAACAAGTCACTGCGACACAAAACCAATCAAATGATTTTGAACTGCGACACAAAACCGATCAAACGATTTTGAAACCGATCAAAGAAATCGAAACCGATCAAAAACAACTACAACAATGCCATGGCCCAGGGGTGTCGGAAATGTGAAATTCCAAAACACTCGGTCGATAGACGAGTTGCGGGTTGGTCCTGTGAGAAATTCACAGAGATTTCGGAACATCTGTGAAAAATTCACAGAATTTTTGAACCAGACAACCAAGCATTGCTTGCGCACCATATTATCCGTTTTTTTCCTCTACAGAAATTGTATTGTGCTTTTACGAAAGGGCATGCGTGCACGCATGTAAGCTGAACCTCTGTTGAAACTTCATGGCAATTTCGGAACATCTGTGAAGACCCTTAAAAAACCCACAGAGATTTCGGAACATCTGTGAAAAATTCACAGAATTTTTGACTCATAGGACAAAAACAATGGTCAATAAGGGGAACTGTCGATAATTTAACAAACTACGACCAAAACGCAACGATCACCGACCAAGAATGAATTCCGCAAAGGAGTGAGCAAGCCGGTCAGGCCCGGATTCCGGTTCAGATTCACACCAAAATGCGGAATATCCCTGGAAAATCTTTAGTTAAATGACCAACCATGAGTGTAATGACCTTGGAGTGACCTTGGAACTAGATTAGACCCTTTGGAGGCACAGACATAGCTTTAGGCCTAACTCTTATGTCACTCCTTTCTGTGGCTTTCTGAGAGACTCTATAACTTTTGTTGTGACCCATTCCTATCTCTTATTCTAGGCTGGTTCACTATTCGAATAGCCATAAGGCTTAAATTGAAGACTACAAGAGTATACTCTCTCTCACACAAGCAATTGCTGTTTGATTTGATCAAAAAACCTTGATCCTTTCAGATTTACAAGAAGTTTCATGCTACAGTACTTTTTCTACGATGGCTTCTACGCACATGCTCCGTCAAACCATCATTGTCAATGAAGGCGACTCTCCATTGGCATACAAGGCCAGGGAAGTCACTAATCCAGTGATGCAGTATGTCAG